CTACTAGGGGCTCCTGGCATCGCTACTAGGAGCAAGGACGCTACTAGAGTGGCCTACTAGTCGGCGATGGCCTCCATAGTAGCGATGGCCAAACAACCCTAGTAGCAATGGCTTCCAACCTAATAGCGATCGCCTCCAGGGGGTGAAAACAAATGTTCCTTATAACTTACAATGACAATGGTAAGAGATGGTAAGAGAGTTCCGATACAACTTGAAAAAATTATAAACCAAATGAAAGATCAACGAATATGAAAACAATATCCATATATAACATATGATATTGCATATATTATACTATGGATTTGTTTCGGACCCCCCCCACGGTGATGGACTTGTCCACTCCCACGAAGGTCTTGGGAAGGTCATACAGGAAATCAGGGGAAGACCGGTGTCTGATCGAAGAGATTGGAAAGGCCCGATGTTTGCAGGGATGCTCTAGTCTTAAATATTCCAGGATACTTGTGTTGAATTGCAAAAACCATGACATACCCTCGTCATGCCAGGGTCATTTAGCGGATACCTTCTTTGAACAGAAAGGCTGATTTGGAGAAACCAGAGTTGTCTTGCATTCTACTGCAAAGTCGCGACTTGTGAGAGCTCCCGCGGAGTTCTGCTGACGTCATCTGATTTAATGGTGTTCTCCGTCAGTTGCCTGTAGACAAGAAAATCCATGCAACTCTGACAAAGCTGGTTTTCGTTTCCACAGTCATGTTCAAACCCAACTGGTTGAGTTGGCAAGAGAAGCGTCCACTTGGAACCAAAACGAATAAAACAAAACTGTTGGGCTTGTCATTTGTATAAATGGAACCCCCCCTCCACTTCGGGATCTTGGCGTCATCTCCCACTCCCCGACGGTCGGAGGGCGCCTTCACCGTGGCCCAGGTGGAGTTCTCCGCGTCAAGCGGATCTAAGAACCAGGTGACCTCCCCCAGGCCGTGCGCCACGGTCGGGTGCAGGGGGTGAGACAAGGGGCCGGAAAGCGAGGTCGGGAGGAAAAAACACGGTCAGAGGAACGAAAGGGGCTCTTTCGAACCATTTTTCGAAACGGGAAACCCATGAAATCTTCGACATCGCTGCATGATCCACGATCAATGTGCGCGAAGAATTGACCCACGCCCCTTTGCCTTCCCTTCGGGTTCAAGCTCCTCTGCGCGTCCGTCTTGGGCGCCCAGCTGTGAAGTTGATGCGAGGGTCCACCTTGGTTTCGCTCCAACTCGCGACTCGGTGGCGTCGAAAAAAACTGGGTAACACCAGCCAGGGCAACCGCTGGAACATGCCTGGCACGAGAAACGTCGGAGAAACTGCTGCTCGGTGTTTGCCCCCCGAAAAACGGCACCATGGCACAGTCGGTGCAATCAATCAGGCGACATGGGCCAGATGCTGGGAAGCCTGACCACACCCGGGAACTCCGCGCAGGAGTAGGGATGCACCACGTGCCAGGTGGTCTCCTGCAAGGAGGAGAGGTTCACTGCGGCAATCTGCTCAACTTTCTACTTCGTCTCCTCAAGTGTTTGTTTAGAATGTACTACACCCAGGATTTTCACACCATCGAGCATGGCAGAATGACCCCTCCACTGCAAAAGTGTGTGCCCGCCTCTAACTCTTTCCGCACGTAGTCTACATCAGTGCGACCTGGGCGTGCCGACGCGGAATCCTTTCAAACTTCCCCCGAAACCCGAGAAGCCACCTGGAAAAGAGACCATCACCTTTTATTCGTCCTTTGCCAAAGGCTTGGGACCCGCACAGCTCTCCAACTCAGCGAGCTGCAGGCACGGCGACAGCAACCGCCTGCCACGAAATCATGTTCATCGCCGTACCAAAAATGCATTCTTCATTGCACGCATCACATTCTTTCAGAGGACATTTGCAAGTCACCCAAGGCATTGGACTGCGAAAGAGCGGAGGCCCCCTTTGAATACTAAAACTAAAACACCAAGGAATCCACCAGTTCTTCCCTCCAATTCCGACCTCAAATATATATATATATATGTATATAGGTCAAGTCTCCCCACGTCGGAAACCCCATTGAGTTCTCCCCAACATCTCCTTCTCCTTCGCTTGCCGAGAAAAAAAAACGCCGCACCGGGCTGCGCCGCACCTCGAAAGCTGCATCACCAGGGGATGTGTGGCCACATCTGCGAGGCCTCGAGGGCTCAAGGCTCCAAGGCTGAACCGAAAATCGAGTGCAGTGGCGTAGAGGTAAATGTGCTGTCCCGGTTGACCCGGTTGAACCCAGTTGATCCAATTGACTTTGTGGTGGTGGTGGTGGTGGTGGTGGTGGTGGTGGTGGTGGTGCTGGTGGTGGTGGTGGTGGTGGTGGTTCGTCGGGGTCAACTGGGTCAACTGGGTCCTGAGATTTAGCGTGGCCCCCCAGCGCGGTCGCAATGCGAAGATCGATGAAAATCTGGACAGTCTGGACACAAGAAGTACAGTACAGTAGAAGGAGTTTTAACTAGGGATCATTTTCTCTCTCTCTCTAATTATATAATATATATATATATATACATATGTGTGCGTGTGTGTGTCTGAAACAATATGGATGTGATGTTGCAAGAATGTGGCCCGAAAGCATCTCCACCATGCATCAAGCGTCCCTTTGCATCACAGGTTCACTCACATTTGTTCGCCACTGCGGCCAGGACCAAATCCAGGAGTCCGGGGCGTTGGCCGCGCGTCGGTGAGAGATCTCTCTGAGATTGAAGCCCGGTGTTTGAGCAAGTCTTGCTGTCATTCGAACGGAAGGTCATCACAACCTATGGCATGTTTGTTCCACATTGGGTCGACACACCGAGCTTCGTAGCACGCAAAATCAGCCGCGTCACGGTCTCTGAAGCTCACCTGCGTCGGCAACTCGTCCCTCCTTCAAACAGTCAAAAATGGTTCTGTATAGGTTGTAATCCTCATTGCCTCTGTCAAGCTTCCTTAGGCGAAGTGTGCACATGAAGTCTAACTGCCGGAACAACGGAGAAAACTGGCAGCGCCAAGCGATCAAAGAACAAAACACCGAGGGTGAGAGATGAAAGTTGAGAGCCACAACCTACTCAAAACATCCTCCGAAGAACAAAGCAGTGCGCACCGAATGCAAGAACTTCAGAAAGAATGAAAGCATAGGAAAACAGTGATTCCCCAAACCCTGCGAAGCTTCCAGGTGGCCCAGTCCAGGGCTGAATACTTCTGCCCTTTGGTTTCTGGATCCACTCCTTGTTCAATGTAGTACTTCCTCAGTGGATCGGGGACAGTGTGAAGGAGCAGAAATCAGCACCAGCCTGAAAAAATGAAACAAGATGGAACCCACGAACCCGAACGCAAACACGTGTACTCGAAGACTAACGCCAAATAAAAATTTGAGATACTCCTTGATTGTCCTATGGGTCTGTGGATTTTCATTCTGTAGACACACACAAGATTTATGATATGTTTGTAAAGGATATTGTAACTATAAAATGTTTTGGTTTAGAGATCCATCGTTTTTATATAATGCCAATACATTACACACTAGAAGGTCTGCTTACACAAAATGCATAGTACAGCATCCCTTAAACAAAGTTGAAAGACACCATCTCCAACCACTAGTTTATACAAAATGCCTTGCGCAACATTCACTTATATAATGATTTTCCTGGGCATCCAGCCCTTATACAGAATGCCTTCTCTGACATCACATTTTATTTTTGACCACACCCAATCTCTGAAACCCTCTGACTTATACAAAAAGTGGAGCCAACCTTCACATTAACCGCAACTTGTAGATTTGCTAAAGATCCCAAACTGCTGGCTTATGATATGCACGTTGGAGCGAGCGCTTTGTAAGCTCTTGTGGGAGACCCTCGTGCGATACTTTCGTCAACTCTGTGGGACGCTCTTGTAGGACACTCTTGCGGGACACTCTTGCGGGACACTCTTGTGCGATACTCTTGTGGGACACTCTTGGCCACAAAAGTTGGCAGTTCTGAGGCCACAGCTCCCAGAAAATGCTTCCCGTATACTACATTTGTACTACCAAGTGGCCAGTTCTGAGGCCACAGCTCTCAGCAGCTACATGTGCACTACCAAGTGGACAGTTCAGTTCTGAGTCCCCACGCTTCCCGCACTACATGTGTACTACCAAGTGGCCAGTTCCGAGGCCACAGCTCCCACAACTTGCTTCCCGCACTACATGCGTACTACGTTACTACAAGTTGCCAGTTCTGCGGCCGCAGCTAAAGTTGCCAGTTCTGAGGCGAGAGGGACCAGAAGCCGCTTCCCCTACCACATTTGTACTACCAAGTTGCCCTTCCTGAAGGCACAGCTCCCACACTACATTTGCGCTATGCCGCTACAAGTAGTGCACTCTTGTAGGACACTCTTGTCAGACACTCTCGTGGGTCTTGTAAGACGCATTCTTGTCGGAAAGCCTAGTGGGACACCTTGTGGAACTCTCTTGCAGGACACTCTTGCGTGTCACTCTTGGGACAATCGTTGGACACTCTTGCTAAACACTCTTGTAGAACACTCTTGCGGGACACTCTGCACTCTTGCAGGGACACTCTTGTGGGACACCATTGTACGTCGAATATGTCTGAGTGCTTATGATTCACTCTCACTTGTTGGGCCAATCACTCCAAATTAGACTCCATGGTAGCTCCAAATACCCCCGGGATGTGAGATGTGACAGCATTTAGCAAAAAAGACATGCAGAACCGCATCTGCAACACAACAATGGCCACCGGGAAAAAGTTGCATCTAAACAGCTGTTTTGGTGGGGTGGCTGTTGATGTCGCCACTTTTGAAGGCATTTTGACCTAGTGGACCAGTGGACCTATAGTTGATCTGCCATCCTGCGAGGCTTCAACTGCTGCCAGGCCTCACACATTTCAAACATCCTTCTCGCACTGCGAAGCGAAGGCCATGAGCCTAAAGCGACAAGGCTTGGGCTTGGCCCAGCCCAGCGACTCTATGATATTCTGTGTACATATTCGGATAAAAAAACAACCTCCAGCCAGCCAAAGGAGGACTACTGCTAAATGATCCCTGCTTAAACTCCATTTGACACGCAAGTGATGACCTTAACCCATTGCCTGGAGGTATAGAAAACAAGTCCAAAGAAAAGCCCCACAAGGCAACAGCGTGCAAATCAATTGCAAAAGAACAATGATGCCAGTAGTCTGCTAAAGCAGCAGCATCTTAATCGAAAAATAAAAACAGAAAAACTCTGTATCCCGAACCACTGCGAACAAGCAACAGGGGTGTCTGCAGGCGGGTTGCGACGATGTCTCTTCTCCGGATCACTGCAAGCGACATCGTCGCACCGCTCAGATTCCGGCTTTTGCAGAAGCCAGCGAGGGACGTTCTCACCTGCAAGGTCACAATTTCACGGCATTAATCTGAAATGGAGTCAGAAGTCACGGCAAAGCCAAGAGAATCGAACATGTCAATAAAGAAGGTCAGTGTCAGTTGGTTACAGCAATACTTTGGACGAGGACAGGGTGAAACTTCGGAAGGGTGTTGAAACCTAGCAAAAGCACAGGTTGATGTGAACTGTGCATCAATCGCGTTTTATTATGATGCTGGGTTGAGAGACACTGGAGACACATTTATCGCCCGAGCCTTCCAAGTCAAAGCCATTCTTCCAACAATGGCACACCAATTGTTTCCTGGAATTACTCTGAAAAATTGGGTCAAGCGACCTGCATGACCTTGATAGGCATCTTCTCACAATGCAAACCAATTACAACCTAACCTATCATAACCTATCCAAGCGTCCGAAACGATTGGTTGGTCAAAATCTGGCCCCTCATCTGCATCGTCTGAGAGACAGCAGCAAAGAGAGGCACTCTGTACCTGGGCCCCACAATTGCCGAAAAAAATTGCCCTTTCCCTTTTTAGTTGAGGGGTCCTAGATGGTACCACTTGAGATAACATTGTAAATGACACATCCAACCTTCTTGTCTTCAACCACGTATACCGTATAAGGTTGAACTCACCATCCTCTTGGAATCGATTTTCCTGATGTGTAAAGTAAGTTTGGCCTCTACATGCATGGCATGGCATGGCATGGTCAGAAGAGACATTCGGATGCTCGCGTGGTACATGGATCCTAGCACAGAAGTACGAACAGGCGTCATTCTTAAGGTGCACTGGAGCAGCAAAAACATCTCTTTGAGAGTCAGACATAGATATCGGTGTGTATTAGAATAGGACTTAGGGACACCCCAGAAAAGGCTGTTTTTGGTCGTTGGCGCAATGGCCATTAAGACATTACTTTCAGTTTCCTTGAGGTCAACTTTCCAAAGAAAAATATCATATATATATATAGCAATTATCCCGGCAAGACACCCCAAACAGTGCGTGCGAGGTTTAGAGGTGTAGCAGCAGAAAGTCTAGAAATCTAGACGCATTGGGGTCCAGAGAGGTGATGGTGAGTGTGAGTGAGATTGAGAGTGAGAGAGTGAGAGTGTGAGTGAGAATAGTGAGAGTGAAAGTGTGAGTGTGAGGGTGAGTGTGAATGTGAGCGTGAGTGAGTGTGAATGTGAGTGTGAGTGAGTGTGAGTGTGAGTGTGAGTGTGAATGTGAATGTGAATGTGAATGTGAATGTGAATGTGAGTGAGAGAGGGAGAGTGAGTGAGTGAGGAGTGGAGTGGAGTGGAAAGGTGGAGTGGAAAGGTGGAGTGGAGTGGAAAGGAAAGGAAAGGAAAGGAAAGGAAAGGAAAGGGAAGGGAAGGGAAGGGAAGGGAAGGGAAGTGGTGAGTGTGTGTCAGAGTAGAGTGAGAGTGACTGTGTGTGTGTGTAGCGTGTGTGTGTGTGTGTAGCGTGTGTGAGTCTGAGTGAAAGCCAAAGTGAGAGTCAGAGAGAGAGAGAGAGTGAGAGTGAGCATCTGAGACCTTCGAGGTTCACCAAGTGCTGTGGCTGCCACGAAATCTGCGCTTCGAGGTTCACAAAGCGCTGCCTGCGCTTGCCACGAAATCTGCACTTCGAAGTTCACAATGTGCTGGGCTTGCTACGAAATCTCCACTTCGAGGTTCACAAAGTGCTGCGCCTGCCATGAAATCTGCACTACAAGGCTCACAAAGCACTGTGCCTGCAGAGATATTTGCACTTCGAGGTTCACAAAGTTCTGCACCTGCCACGAAATCTGCACTTCGAGGTTCACACGTCGAGGTTCACAAAGTGCTGCACCTGCCACGAAATCTGCACTTCGAGGTTCACAAAGTGCTGTGCCTGCCACGGAATCTGCACGTCGAGGTTCACAAAGTGCTGCACCTGCCACGAAATCTGCACTTTAAGGTTCACAACGTGCTGTGCCTGCCACGGAGTCTGCACTTCGAGGCTCACAAAGTGCTGCGCCTGCCACGAAATCTGCAAACGAGCCAGACGTCGAAAAGTCACGATTCACTGCACCTGTCAGGAAATCAGAGCGCCTGGAAGATCACCATGTCCAAAGTGCTACACCTGCCATAACATCTGCACTTCAAAGCAAAACCGCTCCGATCCCTTGCACCTGTCACGAAAAGTCGACTTTGGAGAGGTTTTCTTTGCAGCGAAAAGTGACCACCATGTCCGAAATGCGCACAGCACCACAATGAGAGCGCAGTCGCGACAAGCACCTGCCGCCGCCACCCAGATTTTGCGAGCCTGCGAGGATTTCGAGAGGCATGAATGTACTGTAAATAGCAGCAGCGAATTAGCCGGACACACTCGTGCAGCACCTCGATCCAACACCGACACTTTACACTTACCGTAAGAACCCCTAGTGTGTCCCCACTGTTTGGTGTAAAATACTCTCGGGGGTTGACTTAAAGGGCTTTACTGTTCCACCCCCCATAGTTTAATAACCCCCCTCTGAAAAAAATATTGCAAAAAAAGTTAATCGTAAAACTATTCCTGCAACTCACCCCCTTGGAAAAGGAATTCAGTGGACGGCCGATCTTGATGTCTTACCCTTGGATCCTTTGGTTTAGGGGGGAGAACTCCGCTCAGATGCTGTGTGACCAAGAATGCCACTGCCACCGCAGCGCTCCGATTGCAACCAGCCCAGCAGTGAATCAGAACACCATTTCTGCCGTTGGGTGACTGTAGCGTAGAGTGAACGGCTGTCTGGCAGTTCTCAGCTACGCTGATGATGTCGAAGTTCCGAGCATCATCTGCCACCATGATCAGTTGATGTATTCTTGCCCGCGCAAGCCGTTGGGGAAGACCTTTATAATCCCCTTGGATCTTGTCAGCACATAGGTTCACCACGCAGCCAATTCCCAGCTTCCTAAGATTCTGCACGTCAAATGCATCGCTCAAATCTCCCAGGTACAAAGGAATCCCTGGAAAGATCCTCGCAGGCTGTTCCTGTGGGAGAGAGCTAACCTTGCTGACCGATTCCTTGTCCCAGCTCCACACCTGCAGTTCACAAAGCCAAGATTCTCAGGGTTTCGGCGTGGTCACTGTGTTTTACTTTCTTCATTGTGCCAACTTAAGCGACAGGTTGTGAGAGGATTGTGAGGTCATTCTGAAGTATCGAAAGTGAATCAAGATTATCGGGGGGCAAATGGCACTATATATATATGCTTTAATACATATATATATATACATATAGATACATATAGTATGGTTTCAATATTTACCACCAGAAAGCATGTGCACTTTCTTTGGAGCCTTTTCAACACATCCCACCTCAAAGGATTTCTGGATGGTCTGCAACTTCCTCAACGCCGATTTTTCTGCTTCATCGAGCTGAGCAGCCTCATTCTCACAGTGGGAGCAGATCTCAAACTTTCGAGCGACCTCGTCTGCTTCGTCAAGCTCACCAGCACCGCTCGCCCTTTTCAGTTCCCAGCCACAGAGCAAGCATTTCCTCATGCTGGAATCTAACTACGGTAGGTTCAAAAGACTGCTATGTAAAGTAAACTAGACGCTTTGCTAAGATAAAGCTTGCATATGCCAGCTAAATGGCCAAATGCAAGTGTGAATGAATCGATTGCTTGAGTTTGATGGACTACGAAAGTTGCAGGGTCTTCTTTTGTTTATGCATGTGCCTTCAATGACGTTTCAGAAAGACCACCTCTGTTGGCTTCGGAGCAGTTGGTGTACCAAGCATCAGGAACACCCCGGTTCGCACTTCCTACGCACCCATGAGACCTATGTGGGGCCCGTTGTTGAGACGGAAAAAGCCCGGACCATCCCGTTGGTGAAAACCGGAGACCCTGATACAAGGCTCCGCTAGTGAATCTTGGTAGACAAGGTTCCTTGGTATGTATTAAGTCTCACAAGAGGAATCCAGAATCGCCGGCAACAAGGATATTTCGGAACTCATGCTGCTTCTGCGAGAACTCATGAGACTCATTTTGTGTCTCCATGCGGTTTTGTTTGACAAACCAAAAACCGAGGAAGATTGAAGAACCCTTGAGAATTAGGATGCTATCAGGTGGAGGCCATCGCTACTAGTAACAAGAAGCTACTAGTAACAAAGGGCATCGCTAGTTACTAGGAGCAAGAAGCTACGAACGTAGCTCACTAGTAACAAGAAGCCACCAGTAACAAGGTTCATTCCACCGCAAGCGGTGCCGAGATCCTCTCAGTGTGCCTGGCGATCGGCTGGCCAGGTCAGGGAATCGCAGCTCGTGGCCACGCGGCGCGTCCACCTGGCGTGGATGGTCGGTGCGTCCACGGAAACGTGGAGGTTTTGGTTCAAACAACCGAAGCAACATGCATCATAGAGTCATAGAGTATAGCAATATGAGTGACCAGATTGTTCATCCCGTTGGAGTTGTCATCATGAGTTTGGCCACAATGGATTTGGGTGAGCATATTACTATATAATAGAAAGTGCAAGTGAGTACTGCAGGCTGCCACGCAACTGCTGGGATGTTCACAAACAGCTGTGACAGATCCAGGTTGTGGGAAGCTTGAAGACTAGATCTTTGCTGGAATGTCTGCTTCTCAGAAGAACCCTACTATAGAGCCCTAAATGAACACCTATTCCCTGGGCTTGCATGTCTCCCATCTCCGAGAATGTTTGCAAGTAAAAGCCCTTTGACTCCCCTTTCAACCTGAACGGAATCAACTGCTTGGGATGTCCACCTGCCCCTTGGAGTGTTTCAGTTTGGTATTAACTGCCCTTCCGACAGCTCCCGTCCCTTTCCATGCCTGAGGGATGGCTTGTCTTAAGGCCTCGATCTGCTCGCTGTCCAGCAAGTGGTCGACCATGATGCTGCCATGCCTCGACAGGTCAAACCAACCACCAGCGGTGCCGAGTGCTGCTACAGGGCATATCAAGGCATGGAGTCTCGCCTGCTGACTTGCTGTGCGACTTGCAGACCCTTTTTGGAACCATCGTGAATCGATCTGGTCTTGTAAGCAGTGTGCAAAGCCCCGGTGTCCGGTGAAAGAGTTCGAACAAATGCGATATTCATGGATTAGACGTGATTAGACTGAGGTCACCAAGGTGGGTCTCACCAGAGGCATGCATCATAGCTCATCTGTCACAAAGGCATCTCATTGTGAGATCTGCGACACTCGGCGGTCGACCAGGAGTCGGACCACACACCTGGTGGCCTGGTGTCCCACCGCTCCTCTCCTAGAGATGACGATTCCAGAAGGTCCCTTTAGTTTGAGAATCATTCAGTTCAACATCGAAACTTCAGTCTTTCTCGTAAATACTCCAGGAGCATGAACAATACATAGCGAGATCACTCGAAGCAAAATCGCAAAATTTACATAGCGGAGAGGCAGAATCAGGTCGGCCCAGATGACTCGCTCCTCGCCAGGCGAAAGGGCAGACTGGAGTACATCATTTGAAGCAAGAAATGTTAGCTCAACGCACAGAGCCCATGTGCACCAAAAGAAGACCCGACCAGGACCACTGAGAATTTGGTACAAACCATGGTCCTAGGTTGGAGGCCATCGCTTCTATCGGTTGGAGGCCATTGCTTCTATAGGTTGGAGGGCAGAGCGGCCATGAGAAAACAAAGAAAAAAGACATGACAAGGTCAGTAACAAGAAGCTACTAGGAACAAGTGCATCGCTAGTAGTACCAAGTGCCTTACTAGTAGTAACAAAAAGCTAGTAGAAACAAGTGCCACGCTAGTAGTAACAGGTGCCTTACTAGTAGTAACAAAAAGCTATTAGAATTAAAACAAAAATGAATTAAATTAATAGCTTCTTGTTACTACTAGTAAGGCACTTGTTACTAGAAGCGATGCACTTGTTCCTAGTAGCTATTAGAATTAAATTTTCATTATATAAATTCTCCGGTCCCTTCAGTGGCCGAACGAAGCGATGTCGACACCGGCGCCTCAGACCAGCCGCTCACCATCAGCGGTCAACGCCCTGGCACAAGGAAGCAATCCGTTTGGCGCAGCCTCTGGACCGCTGTAGTTGAAGGAATGGATATTTACACCAGTTCATTTCATTGATTTTCATTGGGAGTTGGAACAGGAGCTTTGGGGATTGCAGAATCTCCGCAAACCACGATTGGGAAGAATGAATCTAGCTGGCCCTCAACACTGGCACTGCTCACAAATCCTTTATGGATGCCTTCTTCCATTCCGTCAAACATGTTCACATCCCAACGATTGTAAACATCACCCGTGGTGGTTAGTACCGAGCCAGGTTCGAAATGATCACACTGCAAAAAGTTTCAACACTACAGCTCAAATGGATTGAACTCTGCAGCTACATGCACTTGCTACTAGTGGCTTCTTGTTAATGCCAGGAGCTTCTTGTTTCTAGTAAGGTGTCTTGTTACTCGTAGCGTATTGTTTGGCTCAAGTGGATTGCCCTCTCCAGCCACGACTCCCTCGTTTCATCTTTAGACAATGAGACTGCGCTCGTCGCACAGCTGGGGAATGGCAAACGATCCACATGCATCCCTCTCGGCCTGGGCTCACTGCTCCTGGGCAGCGGATGTTCACGTGTCGTGATGAATGTCATCTAGGATTATCAACCACACGTGAAAGTTGCAAGTAGATCAAGACCCCAAGTGACTCAAATGTTGAAAGAGATGTAAAAAGGGTGTTTGAAATCATCCTAGAACCACCCTCTAGAACCTGAAAACCCCATAACCAGCAGCATCCAACAGCCAACCACTCCACCGTGGGCCGCAACCAAACTCCATCAAACCCCCCCCCCCCCGCGCCACAACGGCACCGAGGCGCGGCGGCCGCATCAGCAGCATCGCCTCGCCGGCCAACTCTTCGGCCGCGTTGGGGGGCAAGTTCACCAGACACGCCGCCAGCGCGCCCTGCCAGCGGTGCCCGGAGCGAGTACTAAGGTAGCTTGTTACGAGTAGCGATGCCCGGAGCTACGTTCGTAGCGTCCTTGCTTCTAGTAGCGATGCCCGTTGTTCCTAGTAGCTTCTTGTTCCTAGCGGAGTGGAAGAACGACCAGTCAAAACAAGGGGGAGGTGGGAACGGAGGAGGGCGCAGAGTCGGTGCCCGGGAGAGCACGAGCACCGAGTTGGACTGGAGTTTGTGGCTTGAAGTTTACATCATGGAGTCTCATACCACCCCCCCCCCCCCACCCCCCCCCCCGCCATCCGAGCTTATTCCTGCTTATTTGCAAAATTAGAAAATAGATGGGAAATAGACATTAAGTAGACTATTTCTGGAAGATGCACGAAACAATGGGTAGAATATGGTGGACCTGGATTGCAGCTACCGAAGCTGTCACGCAGGTTTCAACAAGTTGTTCGCACAGGTGTTCACAAAAGCTTTTTTTTTTGCGCTGCTCCGTTTTGGAGTGTAACCTTCCTCCCTCATGTTGAGAGAAGATTGCCTTCTTTGTGATTCAAAGAAAGTCACAGCGATGATTGAATCGAGCCACACTGACATACTTCAAACTCGCATCGCTCAAACAAGTCGAGTGTTTCTGCACGTTTTGACAATAGATGACTATAGTGTTTCTCCCAAATTCAAGTCTTATGAACCGTTCAGTCAGGAGGTTTCCCCAAATACGTTCAATTCAATTCAGGGAAAGTAAGAAGCTCATAAAACATATTTGGGCGACACCGCACGTGCACCACCCAGGTGTCCATCAATAACAGAGAAGTGCTTTTTAAGTACTGACTGACAGAATCTCTGGCAAATGTCATGGAGTGCGATGTCGTCATGGGTGTTTCTGGAACCCTGGGATGAGGAAATTGGATCAGACTGTCAGAACCACCTGTTATGGTTCACCGACCAACTCATCGGAGAGAGACAGTGTCGCGATGTGGTCACGCAGCGTTTGCTTGGATGGCCTGGGCGCAAAGCGGCCACTACCACAATGATATAAATATTTAGTGTGTAAAATATAATATATAGTTGTCATATGAGTTTCAAAAAACGTACCCAGTGAAACACTCCAGCTTCACCAGTCCCATCCAATGAGATCACACGCTCAAAATAATAGTTACTTAATAGTTGGAACGCATTGTATGTTAAAAAACACAAAACAATACAAAGCACAAACCAAACACAAAATCAATGGCGAGGAACATCTCGTATTTGTCATTGGGGTTCAGCTCATTCCAGCGATTGTAGGCAAAGTTCAGGACGGTGGATAGTGCATCTATCGCTTTCGGGCACTGATTGGTTGGAAATGACCTCTGGCAACTCTGAAGTTTCTTGGTGTCGCCTCAGTTACGGACTCAACAGTGCAGTATGTTCATTCATTCATTGATGAATTCATTGATTCATTGTGGGAGAAAACCAACAATATTATTACTAAATTGTCCAACAGGTAGCTATGGGGATATGTCACCCGCCACCAATGGTTCACTGGATGGTACCGCATCCAAAATTGGCCGCTGATGGAGCCATTGCCGGGAAGAAGCTGCCGCAGCTCAGGCGGGGTGAGATTCCACTGCTTCATTGCAGCGCTTTTGTCGGTTTCCTCCTTCTCTGCAGTCAGTTTTGCAGCTGTGGCGTCGGCCTTCTCCTTCATATCACTTGCTGCTTTCTGCTCACTGATGCCTTGTTTCTTGGCTTGTTGCAGCCCTGCTTCAACACCCTGACCATAAAGCTTCTTTTCCAGTTGTTTCATGGCATCCTGCTTCATTCGTTCGAAAGATTCTTGATCTTCTGTGTCCAGCCCAGACACCATGGCAAGAACAGAAATGTCAAAGTCACCCTTGGATTCACCCATCATTTTGCGCACGATGTCTTTGACAAAGTCTTCAGACTCATCTGGCCACAAGTGGTTCACCAAGGCCCGCACTATGTCAATTTTCTTGATACGACCGCCCTTCCCAGTCCCCCTCTGTGGCAACTTGCACTTGACGGCAGTGCACACATTCCTTAATCGTTCGATAGTGAGGTTCAGCCCAGATTGAAGTGCTCCCCGCGCAATCCACTGATCTCGATCCAGGACCTCAAAAGCAGTGCCACCAACTGGGAGCGCGTCTGGCAAGCAGGCCGGAGGGAGGATCCGATGTGAGACATACCTCCATTTGCAGGTCTCATCAAAGGAGAAGTTGTGCAAAAAGTGAACATCCTCATTCTCGGTGTTGAACGTGAGATACTCCTCACAAACACACAGACAGAAAGTTGCCGTTATTGTATATAGTCAGTACGTGAAGTCAAGTCCAGGTGACTGGGCAATTAGTGATTGAACACCAAATTACAATTTGTCAGATAAGAACAGTTGACATGAGTGAAGTCATGGGCACCTTCCCAGCAATGTTCATCACATTCATTTCCACACCCAGCGCTGCCCACTGTTGGAAGCCTAAGCTGAGGAAGAACTGGTCTCCCACCGTGTCATAGAAGAAGCAGCCCCGCTGCAGGAAAACACCTGCACGAGCAGCGAACCAGATTTTTCAGACTCTGTCAGATTGTAAGAAAACACGTCTAAATTGGTACTGTAACAGTAAGGTTGCTTATAATAGGTCCCACCCTACTGATTCATACTAACCTTTGTAATTGTATACATCGGTTTCCATGTTACAGCGAACACCAGGCCTGCCCAAGCAAATGACGCATTGGCAAAGTTGGGAGCATCGAAGAGCAAGTAGGCTGCTGCTGCACTACTTTTGTAGTGGCTAGCTGGTCCAGACAGCCTCCATTCAGTTTTCACTAGTCCCTTGCTCGTTCGTGGAAGGTGAACATCTGGAGCAGAAGGAAGGTCTGTCTTAGCTGACTTGAAAGCACCACTGAAGAGCTGATACATCTCTTGCTTGCTTTTCCCAAAATCAGACGTAGCACGAACCCATTCAGCCTCTGTTGGCAAGCTTTGGTGCATTCCACTTTTGGCAACGTAGGGGCTGGCAGATGCATAGATCCACAATGCCGCAGGTGAGGTGACTTTGTTCTTGTTCGCACCAGAGACAATGTACGACAAGTGAGCAAAAGTGCTTTCCAACAGCTCCATTGTGGATGATGTTCCAGAACACAGTTCCGTCATAACCTGTATGCAATCCCGTGTTCCACTGGAATCTAGCTTGAACTGCCCGCGTGAAAGATGCGTCATGACCTCACGGGCAAGTGTCTCCTCCTGAAATGCCAGTGTTTTCAGAACTTGTTCAAGTTCTGGCTGCTTCTTCACCTGCATCTCTGCTCGTGTGATCGCGGTGACTAGCCTTTTGAGGTGTTTCATGCCAATTTTTCTTCGAACTGGATCTTGAGACAAAAGTGAAGCTGCAGCTAGTGGCAACGTCAATTGAGGAAACTGTTCACTCCAGGCAAAGTTGGCAGCCAAGTTCACTGCAAAGTCTGATGCTTTTTGGACAAGCGTGATGTCATCTTCCAAGTTCACAGCATCATAGGGTAACGGCGGCCGGCAGCGCGAGGAAATCCGCATAGCAGAACATAATTCAGAACTGGACTGAGCATACAAAATCCTCGTCACTGTTGGCATTGAACCACCCAAGGCCCTGCAAGCCTTAGCGAAAACGGCTTGAACAAATTGGAGTGAAACTAATTTCAGATAAATTTCAAATCAATGTTAAAAAAACATTGTTGTCAAAATCTGCCACAATTCATCTAGTTCTGCCAAAAAACATTCCATTCCAATATGGCTGTTGAACCTTGCTGTTGTGTTTCCAGGTCTTCCGCATATTTCAAATGGAGTGGGTTGGAGATTCTCACAATCAACTCCGCCGCAGGTCGCAACTTCTGATCTGACATGATATCACAGTACATAGCATGAGGACCTTTGCTAACATATGCCTTGTAGAGTTCTGACTTGCTCATGCGACCAGATTTGCCGGCAGGCCCAACATCGTCATCATCATTGTCATCGTCCTGTGCGACAGGCTGGCCCGCCGCCTGGTCGCCATCGTTGTCAACGTTGTCATCCTCATCATCGACCTGGGACGGGGGCCACGGCATATCATGAGACCATTTGTTAAATTCCCAACGACTGGTGTGTGTGGATCCTGGATCAGTTAGATTGCGGCGGGCGAGAATCAAGATTATTAAATACTTGTTAAAAGAGGGTTACCAGACGAGTAGTCTAGTAGTGTACTCTCTGACAGACACAGCTGTTCTTCAGGTTAACTTACATAGCCCATTCCAAATTGTTTTGACAAGCGGACCTGTTCTAGACAAGTATCTAAAAACATATTATGCAACATTTTTTCTACGTGTCCATATCATATCAGTCACATTGTTGTTAAAAATCATCACTGTAGAATTTGACTTCGCAGAACATCGCTGGTGGCGAGGTTTTGTCGAGTCGAGTGGCTACACCTCCGGATACTTCCATGATTCCAACAGAGGCCTCCCGCAGCACCGCCCAATCTTTCAGCATGAGTTTGAGAACGTTCAAGATTCCAAACCAGCTTTTCTGCTTCACCTGGCCAAGAGCAACGTGAGGATTTGTTCAATTTGATCCAATGGTCATAATGGTCCAACCATGCTGGTGGAAAAGATGTACATTATGTACCAGTCAACAATCATAGATTATATTATAAATTGGTTGATGGAAAGGTTCATTGACCTGTTGACTGACTACTAAATGTAGTGGTGACAGAAGACAAGAGTTGTTAGATCTGAGTCTAAGTCTCATAGTCACCCTTTCTCCTGATGCTGTCGCATTCCAGGTATTCTGAGAGCAGCCAGCGTGCGTCAAGGCCATTGTGGTCTTCAACAACGTTTCTCGGAGCTGAAAAGTCGGTTTGGCGATCTAGTTGTACCTCTGCCGCAAGGTCTTCAAAGTAGGCATCATCTTGACGATTGAGAAAAGTCTCCAAGAATTGCCGTCGATTCGTCCGTCGTTCTCCAGTTATTTTTGCTCCATGACTGTAATTTGCAGCGATGGTCA